TTATTTGAGAGAGAGAGAGCACAAGCAGGGGGAGCGGCAGGCAGAGGGAGAAAAGTAGGCTCCCTGCTAAGCAGGGAGCCTGATGCAGGACTTGATCCCAGGACCCTGGGATCATGACCTCAGCCGAAGGCAGAGACCCAACTGACTAAGCCACCCAGGCATCCCTAATTTTGAAACATTTTAATATCCCCTAAAAGAAATCCTTTAACCATGACCCGTTACTCTCCATTCTCTACTCTCTACCTTCCATTCTTTAAAGATTTTATTCATTTATTTGACAGAGAGAGACACAGCGAGAGAGAGAACACAGCAGGGGGGAGTGGGAGAGGGAGAAGCAGGCTTCCCGCTGAGCAGGGAGCCCGATGTGGGACTCGATCCCACGACCCTGGGATCATGACCTGAGCAGAAGGCAGACGCTTAACAACTGAGCCACCCAGGCGCCTCTCTACCTTCCATTCTTAATGTTCTCTCTGTCTCTAAAGATTTGGACTATTGCAAATATTAATGGCTTTTTACTTCTTAAAAAATAGGGTATTATCTTTTAGTATCTCCCATCATTTAGTATAAAAGTCAATTCCTGTAAGACAACATATATTCAAGTTTCTTCAACTCTGGAATATTTAAGAAGTTCACACTCTCCAGGTGCTGAGTCCAGCATCAGGTTCCCAGGGCTTCCCTGTCTGACATATGAGTCCTGTGACAACTAAGGCATGGGAGCAATACAATATTCAGGGTCTAGACCATTTTTCTGATCATCTTTGCATCACATAAGAGATTCCCTCAAGGTTAGCCTAAATCCTCATCTGATGCTCTTGCCATCCCTACTCCATCTTCCAAACAATATCCTGCCCTACTTTGATTCTTAAGGCTTTGGTTCTTAAGTCAGTCCAGAACTGACCTGGAGTTTTGGAAATTTCTCTTGGACTGGGTTAAGCAACTTTTTGGCTCCCCGCAGCTAAACAAAACGGGACGGCAATGAAGAAGACAGTGATTTTACCCCACCCCACTGGGTTTCAGCTTTTAATTCTCATGACCATTCTTGAGACTTCCACTTCTGTCTTGTCATTCTCTTTTCTCCTGCCATCAGTCAGGACATGCCACAGTGCCAGAAGCACACGAGTCACAAGAACACAAGTGGGAGTAAGATAAGTAGTGAGGAAATTAGATTCTAGAGTCAGAGGCATGTGTCTTTGGTCCCTTTTACTACACTGAGGGAGTAGGATAAGGCTACATATCTGGAAAGGCCACACAGGAGACAGCCAGTTGTCACCCATGAGGCAGAAATTGACTAAAGCCAAGTTACCGGATGGGACAAAAGAACAACTGAGAAAGAAACAAGGAAAAAGTAAAGTGCTCAGGGCTTACCTTGCCCAAAGGGGTAAAAGACTCTTGACTAGGATAGGTCAGCCCTGACAACTTGAAGAGCAGACAACTTCTACCATGAGTAGAAGGAAGAAGTGCTTTGGGGAGGTTTCTCTAATGGAGGCCAGCTTTGAAGAGGGGGTAAAGGACAGAGAGGGCTCACACCATCACTTGTCCAAGCCTGCATTCTTCTGGCCATTAAATTAGGTCCCAAGCAGAATTCTCTCCCCCCAGCCCTCTCTACAATGTGCAGGGGTGACCACCTACTAGCAAGTGATATATTATCAAAAAAAGGAAAAACAGCTTAAACTTCCCTGAAGTATTGTTTCACATTAGGAAGGGATATGCTCTGTCTATGCCTGTGGCTCCAGGCAGCCATCTCCAGCTCTACGTGTCAGGCATTTCTTCTGGAAGTATGTAGAACATAACTTCCTGAGCCCAGCTGATTAGCTACCTTTCCTACCCTAGGAACTCGAACCCAGAGACAACTTCCAATACCTGAAATAAATAACAGGATATTTTTAGCAAGTGCCTCAGTCCTATAACATGGTGCCTAGACCAGAAAAATGTCTGGGAAGCTCAGAGGTTAACTGACTTCTGAAATAAATGTATGTGCTGGGATCAATCATCTTAATTTAATATTACCATCAATCATCCTAATTGCAGCTACTATTAACTAATCTGTATGGAACTACAGTGTTTTGATATTTTAACCATTGGTACATCTATGCTAGTATATACTGGCTGATTATTAAACCTAAGAAATTCAGGTCTTATGTGGACTCTGAAAGTGACATTAGTGTCCATAAAGCTGGATGCCTCCTGTTAGGACTGGACATCACTGTGTAACACTCTACAAGCAGGAAACTTTCTGGTAAAACCTATAAAGCACCATACTGAAAGAGTCTTAAAGAAGTGTAAGTTTAAAAAAGACTACGTATAACCAAAACATGATCTGTACTTATTAAAAGTAACATGTAAAATGGCATCTACCATATTAGGAACAACAAATCTATTACACAGTAAAATTTTATTACATATTCTGATTATTCATTAGCAGAATGAACTAAAACGGAATTCCTAAAACTGATAGGTTCCAGAGATTTTTAATACTTGCAGAATGTAGTATTTGCTTTGCAAACAAAAACATCACAGTACCTTGTAATGTCCATTTATCACAGCATCATGTAGGGGAGTGATCTGGTACATTCCTGTGATATTTACATCTGCTCCACCTTTTAATAGTTCACTTGCTGTCTGATAAAATCCTCCTACACTAGCTTCATGAAGTGCTGTCCAACCTATTATACAAAAAGGAAATGGTATTTATGTTTGCTATCTTAATGTTTTGTGCTTGCCCATAAAATAAAAACTCTATGTTGTTTCTTTAAAAATATTTTGATTATATGAGACAAGATAATCTTACCATGAAATAACTTGTATTATTAGATGAATTCAATAAATCTGAGGACCAAATCAAATTCCTACTCCCAACTCAGTTGTGAAAAAATATGAAAAGTAAAAATTTTTTTTAAAGAAGTAAAATATTTGAAACTATTCCTTGCCCTCCTCAAATAAAAAGGTTGTAAGGGAGTCATTATTAGCTCACAGAGAATGCTAGTTGCAGGCTACTTTCCTGGAGAGAAGAGGGGGAAAAAAACTTTATAGCTCAAGGTACTTCCATTAAAGTAACACAGCTAGTAGGAATGCACAGAAGTCACTTCAAAAACATATATTTCTTTTCTCCTTATTTTAAAAAGCTATTTACCGTAGTTCTTTTTTTTTTTTAAGATTTTATTTATTTATTTGAGAGAGAGAGAGAGTGTGGGGAGAAGCAGAGGGGGAAAGAGAGGAACAAGCAGACACCACGCTGAGCACAGAGCCAGATGTGGGGCTTGATCTCGCGACCCTGAGATCATGACCTGAGCTGAAACCAAGAGTGAGATGCTTAACTGACTGAGCCACCCAGGCACCCCTATTTACAGTAGTTCTAACACCACTATTTTAAGAAAACCAGTCGTACAGACAAGTATCCTTTATCCTTGTTAGCCAGAGACAATGGTGTAAGTTATATTTATTAAATTCCAATAAATCATAGGATTGATGAAAGAAAACCTAAAAGTTGCATGTTAAAAGTGTATTTCACTCTTTCCAGAACCTTTTCCATAAGCCAGGGTTTCTCTAACTCAGCACTAACATTTTGGGGTGGATAATTCTTTGTGGTTCTGAGCATTCTATTAGATGCCAATAGCACCCCACCGCCATTCCAGTTGTAACAACTAAAAATGATTCCGGAAACTGCCAAATCTCCCCTGAAAGGCAATATCACTCCAGTTAAGACCCATTGCTATAAATATATAGAAGCAGTTTCTCCTATACTAATAATTAGAAAGCTTTGAGGAAGAAATGAAGAGTACCAAATGGTTAATAAAAGAGTTTTTTTCCTATAGATTTTCTTAAAATGCATGTGACTGTTTAAATTGAATATTATAACATTATATTTTGGTGTTATTAATGTATATAGATGTTATATATATAGTACAAAAGGGAGATGTGGTCAATGTTTTTACATTTTTAGAAATATTAACATACTAACTCTAAAAGGACTGAAACATTAAAGATGTATATTTCAATCACCAGAGTAACTACTACAAAGTAATGCAAAGACAAAGAGAGGGGAAAAAAAGATAATGTGCACAAGAAAAAATTAATTAAACTGCAGTCCTCAATCCAACCTTTTATATTAAATGAAAATTGATTAATCACCCCAATTAAAAGGCAGAGATTGTCAGAATGGATAAAAAACCTGTCTATAAGAAATATGCTATCTATAAGAAATAACTTTTATTTATTTACTTAAAAAAATTTGTTTTTATTTATTTATTTGAGAGAAAGAGAGTGAGAGAGAGAAAGCACGAGAGGGGGAAGGGTCAGAGGGAGAAGCAGACTCCCCATGAGCAGGGAGCCCAATGCGGGACTCGATCCTGGGACTCCAGGATCATGACCTGAACCGAAGGCAGACGCTTAACTGACTGAGCTACCCAGGTGCCCAAGAAAT